AGTAAATTTCTTGAATAATCATTCGACTCTCTTGTAATTACTTAACTCTGATTGGTTCTTTTATGATTGATTAATTGCTGCTCGGCCTTGTGGCTCGTCATTTAAAGATTATTTGCAGACAACGTACGTCTTTCGTTCTGCCATTCAAGTATGGCCAAACAAAACTCATTGATTTTCAGCGTCAAGTTATCGTACTTTTCAAAGAAAATTGACGAAATCTGCAGAAATTTTTCCTGAATTTTTTAGTCAAATCAATCGTCACCAGTTTTCAACAGTTGTCTCACATCTTTCTGAATTTACCACCTTTTTTTTTTTTACTGGGCACCTTGTGGTTTGTAAATAATATATATGCGCCTTGTTTTGTTTTCTAGTGTATATTTTGTTTTTGTTTCTTTTTCGGATTTAGTAGGATTTACTTTTTCACACGAAATAAACAAGATATTGGTGGTTTAAAAAAGTAGTTTCAAAGCATTTTTCTTCAAAAAGTAAACATTTGAAGCTGCAAATATTACGGTCTATTTAACGAAACCCTCCTTTATTCTAGATTTTCTCTCATTGTTGTCATGTGATTATAACTTTATGAGATTAATTCTGTTTGCTGACTTACGGTGGACGTTTAATTTTGAACTTGTATAAAAGACTTTATTTTCTTTCTTTTTTTCATATATAAATTCACTTGTACGTTCGATTTTTTTTAATTTATTCTTGACAACTAGAAATTTACTTACGTTCTCATATATTAGTAAAGTGATATTTCTGGGGAGAAATATCCAGCATATTTTGGAATGGATCTGATTCTAACAATTCTAAAAAAATAGTGCAAAAAACACCGCATTGTTGTTTGTAAAATATTACCATTGGAGTTTTGCTTTTAAAAAATACGATTGAATGAGTAAAAAACATAGATTTATACAAAGTTGAAAATTTTTTGATTTGGTTGATCGGTAGGGAGAAGCTTATTTTTCTTTTTGTGAGGTATTACTTTAGGAAATTGAAACATTTTAGCAACTGCTACGACAATAACGATTCAATATATACGTTACTCGTTATTGTTCCTGCTTATGCCTTTCACTTTGTTGAGGAGATCGCTAGAATTATCAAGGTATAAAAGCAAGGTGATAAAACCACTAAGATGCAAGGCGTTACTGAGTGTGATAAAATATGAAAAAAAAAAAAATTATTAAAGAGAGAGAATAATAAAAGAACAGGAATTTAAAACACTGACATCGCATTTATATTTTTGAAGATCAAAGTTAACTGGAAAACAAGAAGCCGAAAAATGGAAGAAACTATTAGCATAGAACTTCCGGTTACGTCCTGTCATTTCAAATGTAAAACTTTGCTGCCAATTTAGTATTACGCTTAAATTCATGTGGTCAAGGCACCAAAGAGGAAAGTTCATCAGAACAATTTCCATGAAAATATTTATAGAAAAGGCAGAGGGAAGCTTGGTTACGACGGTGGGATTGTGATTGAACGAGATGCCAGGTCAGTACCAATGACATAACAGATTTTATTCTATTAAGAATCTCTAAATATATAGCAGATGCATCACACCAGATGTGACAGCAGTATTCAATCCATGGGCGAATGGTAGACTATGGCTTTTGCTATTTTCTGAGGGGTTCTTCCCATTCAGAGATAATACGTCGCATTGAAATTTTCAGTTTGTGTGTTTTTGGTAATCAACGAAACAGAAAACTTCGTTAGAAACGAAGAAAAGCGTACTAATCTGTCAGCTGATGTATGTCCTGCTATATGTCACAGAAGAACAAGAGACTTGAAGGAGCAGAAAAATGGTTCTTCAGAAAGATACTGAGGATACCATGGCTGTAATATGCGAGCAAAAATGAAATGTTAGAGAAAATAGAAACAAAAAGGAAACTTATATTTAAGAGGTGGATGATTTTTAGGAGGCAAGTATAGAGGGAAAGACGACTTGGAAAATCTGATACTAACAGGACAGATTGAGGGAAAGATGGACAGAGAAAAGTAGCGTAAACCTACTTGATAAGCTTGAGTAAATGGAAGATAGATAAGTGTTCGAGAGAAATGCCAAAAAGACAAAATTTATTAAGAGCTACAAGGGACAGGAAGATGTGGATGACCATGATCGCCTACATCCTGAGGGGACACAGCAGATTAAAGAAGAGTTTAGATATCATTGAAGCCAATTTGATCGTAACAATGATGTGTACTTATTTTTTTTTTTTATTCGTTTATTGAATTTTCTATCTCTTTTCTTTATTGTATTTTTCATAAACACCAATATAGTTTAATTGTGATTCTAATTTTTGTCACTTATATCATTCTGATCATAAATATTATATTTCTTGTTCCACTGTCTTTAACGAAGCCAGTCTGTTCTTATCTCATTTCCGGTCTAATTCTGTAACCGTTGTATTCATCAGAATTTGGACAATAAGTTTAGTTATTTGTCGCAATGTAATCTGTTTATCCGATGGAACTCGCATTAATTTGCACCAGACAGATTAAGAAGAGCTACGAAGTTAGATCTACTGAGATCTTTTGCTATGTTATCAGTATAGTTTAATAATGATTCAATATTATCGTTACCAACAGAAACATCCATAATTACAGCTCCACCCACCATTTTTGCAGAGTTAAAAGGATAAATTATTATTTTAGTGCATTTGTGTGTCTTCTTGTAGCCTACATCGACCATAAAAGGGTTAAAAACCAATACGCAAGTTAAATAGAAAATAAATGTAAACAGTTGAAACGAGATACGAAAGTGATTTTCCAAGCGTAGTTCAGATGTGGCACGAGGCCGAAAGAAAGGGTACCCAGTGAGGATCGAACTCACTACTCAGTCATAATTGTTCTAGCGAGAAAAACTGGCTAACCATTACACCACAGCGCGGTGCACCAAAACGAGTCACGGCATAGTAGTGAATTGCGGCTCGTGTTGAGGAATCGGAGAGTCGAGATCGAATTCTAGTCGAGTTCAGTACATTCGTGTTAATACTCTTGGAAAAGATGTGACTCCAACTCAAGCTATGAGTAAATAGCAGGATAGCCTTGGGGTGGGACAACTGGTCTAGGAAAAGAAAAACTGTATGTAGCACTGGCAAATCACATACTATGCAGATAATGAAAGGATCATTCGCATTGATTCGATGATCCCGGCTAAAGTCGACTCCTCTTTGAAACGAGTTTAAATTTACATTATTTACATTATTCGGACTATTGTCCTCATCTTTGAACTAGAACAGTCTACCCCAGTGAGCGAAATGAAGGGTTCAGTTCGACATTCCAACCAAACGTTGTAATAAATATGGCGACAAAAAGATGAGGACAATAGTCCGAAGAAAGCCGGAGCGTAGACAACGGCCCAGAAACGTTGTAAAATAAATATGGCGACAAAATATGAAAGATGACAATAGTCCGAATAATGTAAATAATGTACATAATACCTCATCTCAGAAATATAGACAGATAATATGAAAGGCCGAAACGTTGTAATAAAATATAGACAGACAAAGATGAGGACAATAGTCCAAATAATGTAAATAATGTACATAATACCTTATCTCAGAAATATAGACAGATACTGAAAGGCCGAAACGTTGTAATAAATATGGCGACAAAGATGAGGACAATAGTCCGAATAATGTAAATAATGTACACATAATGCCTCATCTCAGAAATATTGACAGATACTGAAAGGCCGAAACGTTAATGTAATAAATATGGCGACAAAAGATGAGGACAATAGTCCGAATAATGTAAATAATGTACATAATACCTCATCTCACAAATATAGACAGATACTGAAAGGCCGAAACGTTGTAATAAATATGGCGACAAAGATGAGGACAATAGTCCGAATAATGTAAATAATGTACATAATAACTCATCTCACAAATATAGACAGATATTGAAAGGCCGAAACGTTGTAATAAATATGGCGGAGGACAGTCCGAATAATGATCATCTCAGAAATATAGACAGATACTGAAAGAATAGTCCGAATAATGTAAATAATGACAAAGATAGGACAATAGTCCGAATAATAACTCATCTCATCTCAAATATAGACAGATACTGAAAGGCCGAAACGTTGTAATAAATATGGCGACAAAGATGAGGACAATAGTCCGAATAATATAAATAATGTACATAATAACTCATCTCAGAAATATAGACAGATACTGAAAGGCCGAAACGTTGTAATAAATATGGCGACAAAGATGAGGACAATAGTCCGAATAATGTAAATAATGTACATAATACCTCATCTCAGAAATATTGACAGATACTGAAAGGCCGAAACGTTGTAATAAATATGGCGACAAAGATGAGGACAATAGTCCGAATAATGTAAATAATGTACATAATACCTCATCTCAGAAATATAGACAGATACAGCTAAAGTAAAAATCAAAACTTCAGATGCTTAACTTGAATCATGTCTCCTTTCCCTAACGCATTTTTTTTCTTACGAAACAATCATATCTTTGTTTATTTACACCCACCTCATCATCGTCATCACCTTTGAATCGCCCTCAAACGGACATCTACTTCAAGAAGTTTGTGAAGACATGGCTTGAAGCCAATGTTGTCACGTATGAATGTTGTTGCGCCCTTTGCAATTTTGTACTTATAAACCTTAATAAAGGCCCTACTCAGCTTCTCGCTGACATTGCCTCTAAGCGGATTCTTCTGGGTAGAGTAACCATTGTCTATGTTCTTCTTGACAGTGTAGACAGTTCACAAGTACACGCCAAGCGCGTTGTGCATGATTTTAGGATCGATATTTGCACGAAGGAAGTCCTTAACTCTTTTCTATTTATCTTTCTGTGAATTCATTTTCAATAATATTCCTGAAAAATTCTTGTCCGTTAATAACTGATGGCATGAATGTATTTTGTTTCACATCACTTGGTGTAGTAAATAGGAGGAACTTCAGTTTTATTTTTACTGCTAGTCTCCCCTCAGACACACTCATACGGACGCGGACAAATATACATACATACGTATGATATGTGATATATATCTGGGATAGATAGATAGATAGATAGATAGATAGATAGATAGATAGATAGATAGATAAGGATGAACAGACTGCGAAAGAAACAAAGAAACGAACAAACAATGATAGATAGATAGATAGATAGATATATAGATAAGGATGTCCTGAACAAAACGAACAAAAATGAAATAGATAATAGATAGATAGATAGATAGATAGATAGATAGATAGATAGATATATAGATAGATAGATAGATAAGGATGTCCCGACTGCGAAAGAAAGAAAGAAACAATGATAGATAGATGCATAGATAGAGAGATAGAGATATATAGGGATCGGATTGCGATAGACAGATATGAACAGACTTAGATAGATAGATAGATAGATAGATAGATAGATAGATAGATAGATAAAAAGGGAGCAATAACCTGTAGATGGAAAGATAATATGTTACAATATCTGACATAAACATGTGCTTGGTTACGCATATATATCGCTTGTTAGGTATATACTGATAATGCCATTATAAATAAACACACATCCGTGGATACAGACGCGCTCTTCATCAAATATCTAAACCAACGCCTATATATATATATATATATGTGTGTGTGTGTGTGTGTGTGTGCATTTGTTTGTAAATCCTACAAAAATCAGCAATAAATATGATCATGATTGTGTTAATGCTTGAATAGATGCATGTGCGATCTTAACATATGTTATTTTCCGCTTTTTTTTTGTTCTTTTATTTTGTTTTGGGTTTTTTTTTTGTATACTGAGCCATTGTACACCGTGACGTATGAAAGTGTACCTTAAATATTAAAATATATCGAACGAGGTGGGCTTTGCAGACGCTTAATAGGTTTCTCACACATTAAAGATCAAAATGTCAGAGTCGAGATGCATCACTTGATCTTTACGAGAAAGGCATCAAATGTTGCGTTCCTCAATTCATTCAATTTTTTTTCATTCAGAAGTCTTTGAAAAATGTAAAGAAAGTCTAAAGAGTACAAAATAGAAGAAAGAAGAAAGCAAATCGACTTGGAAGAATATAAATAAACTAAAAGGAAAGATATAAACAGAAAAGCATTTCCCTTCAAAATGATTTATGCATGCGATTGAACAGTACGAACAAGAATCTGGATACAATTGTTGAATAGAACGGTCAGTTTATCGGCATGAGTAAAAATGCCTATTCAAAACATATAGAAAAAAACAAAAATAGGAAAAATGCTATTAAACCTCTGCTCAACTCTCAGCCACAAATATGATACGAATAAAGAAAATTATGTGCAAATTTAAACAGAAAATATAGGACAGTTAAGTAAATGAAGAAATAAACAAGTAAAAAAATGGAATCGAGTTTATGGATGAGCCAAAGAAAAAAAAAACAATGTAGGTAAGAAATAGAAGGAAAAAAAATGAACCAACCTCAAGACAAGATCCACAAATCAAATGTAGAACTTCTTCAGGAGAAAAAAAATATTGGCTTTCTTATCGACCGATTCATAAAACCTCACAAACTTTTATGACATATGAATATAAATATATGCCACAAAAAATATTTATATATGTATATGTATAGATTAGACGAAATAAGTCGCCTGCTGTAGAGTGATATATAACAACGTTGTCTCCCGGATAAGTTTCGACCTCATTAACTTTCCCTAGTATGTCTTTGTGCCAGGTTAGCGCTGAAACAGTGGGCATCATGAATTGTTGTTTTGTCGGAGATCAGCGGTTATCAACAGTTTTTTTTTTATCCTTTCATCCCAAGCAATGCGATACTGTCTATAGTACGCAGAGGTTAGAGTAAGTGAAAGTGAGAGACTGAGAGTGGAGAGGATTGAGGAAAGGACAAAAGATAAACGGGGTTCAACAAGACAGAGGATGGTGACTGACATGGCATTTACATTTTTGAAGATTGTAGTAATCAGGGAAGCAAGTAAACGGAAAGCTGAGGGAAGTGTGAGAAAAGAGACTGAAGGACTAGAAATGGCGGTTATATTGAAGCATTTAAACAGTAAACTGGAGGAACCTAGATAACAATCTAGTGGCAAACATAAATTCATGCAGTCGGTGCACCAAGGAAAAAGGTTCGTTAAAACAGTTGCCATGAAAATACTTGTAGAAAAGACAGAAGGAAACTACGAAACGTCTGTTTTACATTACAAATCATTCTTTGAATTTTGTCAAGAACCCCGAGATGAATAGCAGGAGCACCAGACCAGATGTAGCAGCAGTATTCAATGTACGAGCAGATGGTAGATTTGTAAATGTTCAAGATGGACTCTGACGAGAAAAATTATCTGGGACGACACATTGATTCCTTGTAGTCTCTGCAATACAAGTCGGTTGAAAATGACAATATGGACATCATTAATTAATTAATGACTACTTGGCAACTCGAGAATTCACGACGTTTCTATTTACTAAAATTCAATCCTGGAGTATTTTCCTCGAAATAAAAGTGGAAAAACTAGTCGAATTCTGTGCTTTTCAAGATTGATTGACTCAATGATTCGTTTTCTACGGCACATCAAACATTTGCAGGCTATTTAAAGCCAGGAAATATTTTTAGATTTTACGATTTTTTGTTTTTGTTTTGGAGATGATAATGATATAATAATACAAGTCGTAATAATTAGCCCAAAGCTGGGGGCAAACCCAACTGGAATTTGAACTCGGCACTTCTGAACATCCAAGCTTACAGCACCTGGTATTCTGAAACGGTTATCCATCAAGGTACTGATCAAGCTTGACGTTGCTTAACTTCGGTGCCCGTACGGGAGGGAAACAGTGTTTCAGCTTGATGTGGCCGTAAGCCCTGCTTTTCAGAGTGAACAGACAAGAAAAGATCAAAAGGCATAGAAAAGGCTTCAAGAATTGTACATGGAAAGCTCTAAAGTGTATCAAAAATTTATGAATAAATACCTTTGTTTCAATCTCCCTTTTACTCTTAATTTTTATAATCCGAAAGAGTTAAAATATAATTTTATAGATTTGTATATACTTAAAACGAAATGGACTCACCTTTCAAAAAATGAACTTTCTTGTTTTTTCACCTTCACGTTTGGGGAAAATGTATGACAAAGATGAAAACGTTTACTTGTGACGCATTTTGTCTTTCAGAACTTCATTGGACTAAATTTTGTTTTGTTAGTAGGAATGCACATGCGCACGACAAAGGGATGCTGGGAATTGTCGAATTTTTTTTTCTTTTTATCTAGCCAACTTCATTTAGTGTTTATCATTTCGTTCCATCACTTTTGTAAGTAGATATTCCACACTGTGATATTAGAAGCTCTGCCAGGAATGGAGAAATGTTGTAAGAGCCAGGGCGTAAATTTACTGCGTTTAAGACACTGTGTAGACATTTGCCTCGTAGTGAATTATTTGAATCTTTGGTCATTTCCCCAATACTCTTCATGATATATATATATATATATATATATATATATATATATATATATATATATATGTCTTGTAATATTAAATTTTATACTTTTATTTCGATCATTAAATTTTGTACCTACAAATATCTTTATCTTTAAATATATATATATATATATCGTTAAGTCACACCTTCACGTTTATAATGCATTATGAGTCGTTATCTACTGTCCTGATTATTCTTTGGTTTCGTTCATTAGTAATATTTCTGTCTCTGTTTCTAATTCTTCCACACCCAGTAACCTCGTGTGCCTTAGTAGCTTTACTCTCTTGCTTGGGGTGAGTTTGATTAAAACAACTATTATTATAGACAAAATATTAAAAATCATTATAGATGTATAATTAGCATTTTGACTATGAGAACCGGTTTGTAATCTCAACATGACTGATTCTCCTATGTATTTTATCAAGAATCTCTAAATAAATAGCACTGACCCATATGTATTTTTTGTTTTTTGTTCATTTTTTTAATCCGTACAGCGACTAACACGCAGAAGGGAGAAATTAGGAACAGAAACATTAGTAATGAGTAAAAATTGAAAAGAGCGTTCAAGGAGAGAGTGGATTGGTTTCATTTAAATTCCTACAAGTTACCTGGAATGCATCGAGCCAAAAAGGAGTTCCACAAGCGAGAAGTACGAAAAAAGGAAGTGTTTGCATAGAAGTTACGGCTACACCTAGCTAGCTAAATTGTAAATTGATGCGATCTCGCCACTAATCTAGTAATGCGTTCAAATTCCATCAGTCTAGGTTCCTTAGCGAAGATCTCACCCAAAGAATTAGCATGAAAGTATAAAAAAAAGACACAGAAATGAAACCTTACAGCAAGGGGGCAAGAGGCTGAAGCCAAGCCGCTAAATCACAATCATAATACTACTGATTCTTTTTTGGATCTCATCAAGGAGCTCCAGGTAAATCGCAGAGGCAGCGGTCTATATATGGCAGAATTATTCTAAGCATGGGCGAGTGGTAGACTTATAAATATGCAAGATAGATTAAATAGAGAATAATTGTCTCGTCCAACACAGTGAACCAACTTTCTTAGCAGCTGAGCTAACAATGGATACGATATAGTCTTTCCATTTCATATTAGCTGAAAACGTTAGCCCGAGAGGACGCAATGAGTCTATCTACGATATCTGTTTCCAGTCAAAAATAATTTTGGAATATGTCCGTAACTTCAAAGGATTAATTATTTACAGACACACGCGTACAGAAAATATAAAATAGGATTGACATATATATATATATATATATATATATATATATATATATATATATATATACTGTGCTGTTCGATAAGAGTGACTCAGCTGATTTTTTTTTACTTAAAACTTTTTTCGCCTATTGTTTTGGGGGTCAAACTAATTTTTAATCTTACTAATATAAAGACCCCTTCCCGACCACCTGGTAAAAACATTTCTATTGATAATTATAATTTTGGGTATGAATGAGATTTAGGGAAAAACTCTGTGCAAAAAAAAGTGAATCACTTATTTCCTGCAACAAGTAATCAATAGAAACATAACCGAACAGCTTTAAATAAAGAATAATAGAGGTATAATTTATTTATAATAGGCAATATAATTTGAAATATTTAATAATCTATGGGTCTTCCTTTATTTTGAATAACCTTTTCAAACCTTTTTGGCATTGACTTGATTAGGTTCTGGCAAATCTCATCTCCAAGCATTGAATTCCATTCGGATATGAAATTCACTATCAAATCCTCTTTGTTGCTCAACTGCTTTCACGAGAGTCTTATACTTAACGTATACTTGACAGTACTTACTGCTAAATTCAAAGAGCTTTCAAAGCTTCTTCTCCGGATTTTAGATCGCTTATCCATTGAATTTAGCTCAACTTTCGTTTCATCGGAGAACAGAACATTTCGTAAAAAAAATCAGGTGAGTCACTTTTATCGAACAACAGCTCTCTCTCTCTCTCTCTATATATATATATATATATCTATATA